AAACATCAAAACCATATTTCTACAGGAATAAACAAGAACAATTATTTATACATATATTATTTTAAATAATGGTGTTGTTTTTGTTATAACAAGTTTCTTGTTACATTATAATTGTACTATCAGAATGCTTGCATTATGTATGTTGTGGGAAATTAATGTTTGAAAAAAATCTTGATGAAATTATTTCTGTCCTATTTGTGTATCTACAACAATGTGAAATATAATATGTACATTTATTGATTTAATCAACTTATTCCAGTAAAATATGGGGGGGGGGGGGGGGATCTGAAATAACAACTGAAAACCACTAAGGTATTCCAGGGGTTCTAAACATTTTCAGGGGTCAAACAATTTCTCACCATGAACTCAATGTTTCTAATTTCCAACATTTAATTCCATACAATTTTGTGAAAGGAGGTGTACGTTTTCAGTTTTGTTTTTTAAACAAATTCCTTTTCCCATTCCCTCACTCACATCTACTCCATCACACATGTTGAGATCCGTTCATTTAAATGACTTCCTTTCTCAAATCAAATTATTCCTTTTTTTATTTTTTGGGGCCTTACTCTCTGTACCAGCAGCTATTTCCTACATTGTTTGACTGTTGTTGTCACCATACACATGTGCTGGGATGTAACTACTGATGTTGTATGTCTAGTAAACATGTTGATGGTTTAAGCTTCAGCCCTTTGTCTTGTCTGGAGCTAATGTTGTGAACTCTTCCATTCCTCATGTAACAAAAATAACATGCAGTTTTACAATAAAGATTTTGTTTATACATATACCTTAGAAAAATTCTCTGTTTCTACTTTCCTATTAATTGAAAATAGAAATATTCATAAGGATATTCAATTAGAACTGGATTTGTTGTGTGCCATTTTAAGTTATAAGGAAGTTACGTTTCAAAGTCTGTACTAAGACTTCGTGAGTGTGTTCCACCTTTATGCTTTTAGATGAATGATCTTGCCCATTCCCTGACACTGAACTTTGGTCAGAAAAGCTAAGGGACAGAAAACTATGATAACTTAAACTACACAGCACAAAACTATGAGAACTTAAACTACACAGCACAAAACTATGAGAACTTAAACTACACAGCACAAAACTATGAGAACTTAAACTACACAGCACAAAACTATGAGAACTTAAACTACACAGCACAAAGCTATGACAACTTACGCCACACAGCACAAAGCTATGACAACTTAAGCCACACAACACAAAGCTATGACAACTTAAGCCACACAACACAAAGCTATGACAACTTAAGCCACACAACACAAAGCTATGACAACTTAAGCTACGCAACACAAAGCAATGACAACGTAAGCTAAGTTTATATTTATATATCTAAATTAGTCAAGTCTTACCACATAGGTACCTTCACACTTGTTAGAAGAGATTTTAACTTTTATTTAGTTTTTTATTTATGGAAGTGTCAAAGTTAAGTAAATGTTGAAACTCTGATGATATGTACATCAGTCAAGAGCTTCCCTGATGAAAAAAAAAAAAGCTTCAATCCCCATGGTACCCCATGTGATGTGCTTAAGCTGAGACTGACGACCTTGTTCACGTCATTCATCCTTACCTTGAGAACGACTACTGCATGTTGGCGGATCATGATGTCAATTCTTAAACCAAAGTGGATCATGATGTCAAATTAACAATGAAAAGTAAAACCGAAGTGGATCACGATGTCAAATTAACAATTGAAAGAAAAATCGAAGTGGATCATGGAGAAAAGAAAAAAAAATTCCATATCAACCAAACTCAGGGATGTCATTGACAAGCGATGTATCCGATGTATCCGTGAATGTGTGGTAATGACAACAGAAGAATAAAAGTAGATATGAAATTACTAGAGTGAATATTCAGGTTTGATAGTGTGGACTTATTTTAACAAGAAGAAATCCATCGTGGTAGTCGGAGGTAGAGGAGGGAAACCATACATTTATTAACGCCTCTGTGTGCAGTCATTGCTTTAAATGTGCAGTTATTGCTTTAAATGTGAAGTTATTGCTTTAAATGTGAAGTTATTGCTTTAAATGTGAAGTAACTGCTTTAAATGTGTAGTTATTGCTTTAAATGTGCATTTATTGCTTTAAATGTGCATTTATTGCTTTAAATGTGCATTTATTGCTTTAAATGTGCATTTATTGCTTTAAATGTGCAGTTATTGCTTTAAATGTGCAGTTATTGCTTTAAATGTGCAGTTATTGCTTTAAATGTGCAGTTATTGCTTTAAATGTGAAGTTATTGCTTTAAATGTGCAGTTATTGCTTTAAATGTGCATTTATTGCTTTAAATGTGCATTTATTGCTTTAAATGTGCAGTTATTGCTTTAAATGTGCAGTTATTGCTTTAAATGTGCAGTTATTGCTTTAAATGTGCAGTTATTGCTTTAAATGTGAAGTTATTGCTTGAAATGTGTAGTTATTGCTTTAAATGTGCAGTTATTGCTTTAAATGTGTAGTTATTGCTTTAAATTTTGTAGTTATTGCTTTAAATTCCTAATTTTTACTCGTCTTCAAATGAAATTATTTTTTCTGATTTTCAGAAAAAAACGACATGAACTGTAATTTGGTGTCTCCCTTCTTTTGTTAACGTGAGATCGCTCACAATGCCACAATTACCCACGTGCAGTTTGGTGTTACAATGAGACCTATATGGTCTGTTCGCCACCGACAACAGACTAGAAAATAATAAAGAGGTGAGCGGAAACAAATTTAAAAAATGAATGCAATTATCGAAAACGATATTTTGTGCAAGATACTTTCATTTTCATTATTTATTCATGCTGAATATAAGATGAGTGTCCGAAATTTCAAGAAGAATGGAGTTTGAAATACTTCTGCATCAAATCCGGTGAGAAAGCATTGTGTGTGATTTGCAAGGAAACCGTGGCTGTGATGAAAGAATACAACCTGCGCCGTCATCATCAAAGCAAACATCAGGAGGAATGTGCATATTTGGAGGGTAAAGTCCGTGCCGAAAAATGTTCTAAATTACAAAATCAACTCACATCTCAGAGGACATCAACTCACATCTCAGAGGACATCAACTCACAGATCAGAGGACATTGCTCAGTAAATCCTCAAATGATAATGAACCTTAACTAAGGCCAGTTATAAAGTTGCATTCGTCCTGGCTAAAAGGGGCAAACCGTTTACAGATGGTGAAGTAGTGAAGGAATGCCTGTTGGTGGTGGCTGAGGAACTTTGCCCAGAAAAGTCAAAACAATTTTAAAACGTAGCTTTTGGTGCAAATACCATTGCCCGCCGTGTTGCAGACATGGGTGAAAACATTGTGACTCAAATAGCGAAAAATGCAAACAAGTTGAGACATTTTTGTTTCAATTGCAGTGGATGAATCGCTGGACAGCTATTCCACCTCTCAACTGCTTGTGTTCATTAGAGGTGGGGATGAAGACATGAACATAACACAAGAGCTGGCTTCCCTACATAGCATGTAAGACATTATTAACGGAGAGGATATATTCAATGAGTTGAAAATAACATTTACTGATTATAACTTAGACTGGACTAACCTCAGCTGCCTGATATAACTAGTCATTTAAATTTTCTGAACCCAAAACTACATGGAGAGGAAAATCTAGTTTCTGATCTATACACCCACCTAAAGGCCCTCAGATACAAACTCGTTTTGTTGTTGGAACAATAGCAGGCCAAGAACTTGACACACTTTCAGCAGTGCAAGGTATTCAAGGCTGAAGCAACAGCAGAGTTCATTGCGTCATTTGCATGCAAGATCATCAAAGTACCCCAGATGCAATTTCAGCAGCGGTTTTCTGACTTGGATTCAAAGGCATAAGACGTTAGTTTGATTCAAAACCCAATCGCGCTCAGCTGTTGTGGAATGCTTTCCAAAATTTTATCATTTCATTGTTTATTTCCAAATTACTATACTATAAAGCATCTAAATGTCAGTAGCGTTATCTGCTGAATTTGATAATTTAGTTGCGTCTATTAATGGATAATTCCTTAGGGATGAATTATGGTAAAAGAAAATAATAGGGGGTTGGAAAAGGGGGGGGGGGGGGGGGGGATATTAATGAATGAAAAGAAAAATAAAGGTTTTTGGGGGAAAAAAAAAAAGGATGGGAACCGATGATTTAAAATGATACATGATCCATCAGCGCCTTGTATGCAAGCTATTATTCCAATTTCACTGAAGTAAATTAAGCCGTATGAAGATAGTTTCATACTGCTTTAGTGGTAGGCTGGATGGGGTGGAGTTGGAGGGGGTGTAAACAATGTGTTAAACACGGGGCGTTTGCGTTTTTATTTTTTAAAAAAAAATGTTTGTGTTTTTTTAAGGTGTGGCGGAGGATGAATGGTGTGAAGTAAAATTACCGTAATGCTCTACTCTATCGTTTATGTTCGGTGGAAGCGTCCCTGACACTGTTTCAATTAAACAAACGAGAAGCAGCAGCTGCTCACTGCTAAAGCCACGCAACAGTTGAAACACACCCTCACAGCTACACCTGTTTACACAAACACTGAAACACACTCACAGCTACACCTGTTTACACAAACACTGAAACACACCCTCACAGCTACCTGTTTACACAAACACTGAAACACACCCTCACTGCTACCTGTTTACACAAACACTGAAACACACCCTCACAGCTACCTGTTTACACAAACACTGAAACACACCCTCACTGCTACCTGTTTACACAAACACTGAAACACACCCTCACAGCTACCTGTTTACACAAACACTGAAACACGCCCTCACTGATACCTGCCTACACAAACACTGAAACACACCCTCACAGCTACCTGTTTACACAAACACTGAAACACACCCTCACTGTTACCTGCTTACACAAACACTGAAACACACCCTCACTGCTACCTGTTTACACAAACGCTGAAACACACCCTCACTGCTACCTGTTTACACAAACGCTGAATTTCATCCCCTAAAATAGGAAATAAAACCCAAACACTCTTGTCACAGAGAAATTACTCATTTAATTCAATGTTGTGCGACACACAACAGACAACAGCAATACATCGTTCAAAATGCGACAGCAATTTGACAAAGATTATTGTTACTAATTCAATTTAAAGTGGGACTTCGCAAATGAAATAATACCCACGGGGATCAAGTATATTGAAACAGAAAAAGTCATTCATTACAAATGCTTTTAATGAGTACAAATACTCAAGGACTTGGCAGTTTTCCGTTATTTCCAAACTTTCATGTGCACCGTTGCTTGGTTCACCCTGGGACCAAACTGTGTAACCCAAAGGTGTTCCACTATGACGGTTTATCCAGATACCTTCATGCCCTTCGTCTGTGCCGCCAAGCAAAAACTCCATATTCTTGACATCAGTATTTCCTATCATAATTGTAATAAAATCAAGTTCATTCTTAGAGTCCACCTCGGCCAAGTAGCCACCTAGGGCTTCACAAGCCATTTCTGCCATGGCTGCAGAGTAAGGTTCATACAGAGACAAGTAATACTGATGACCGTTTAAAACTGTTGATTTCTTGAAAATTGTTGATTCCAAATTATGAAGTGTAGTCTCCAGCTTCTGGAGTTTATTATTAGTTTGAGTTGATTGTGCCGTAAGGTTATTGAATTCATTCTCCAGCTTCTGAAGTTTATTGTTAGTTTGAGTTGATTGTGCCGTAAGGTTATTGAATTCATTCTCCAGCTTCTGAAGTTTATTGTTAGTTTGAGTTGATTGTGCCGTAAGGTTATTGAAGTCATTCTCCAGTCTCTGTAGTTTATTGTTCACCTCAGAGTCTAATTTAAAAATGAGGTGTGTTAAACTGCCGACTGATGGTTGTGTAAAACTGACAGATTTGTTTTCATTGAAGACAAAAATATCATCTGCTTCGTTAAAGACATTAGCTTTACACTGGTAGGTCCCAGATTCTGAAACCATCGGGTTCACCCATTCCAGAGTCAGGAATGATCCCAGCGTTGAGTTAATGACTCCATTGCTTCTGTTGATGCCGTAACTTGGGGCATCTAGGTGTACTGTAGTATGAGAATCTCTATTGATTGAGGCAAGTTGGTGTAATGTGGAATTCGCTAACAATTTTTTTATTGCTAAAGAAAAAACTTGATATCCAGATGATGGTTGTGGGGGAAATCTGCAGGTTACAACAAGAGATTTCGTAATCTCTGATTCAATGACAGCGGGGGTCGTTGTAATTGTTACCTGACCAACTGAAGGGATTTTAAAAAATCAACAATTTATTAATTCATATAAAAATAAGGATTAATGCTCTTTAAATATAATTTAATTTATTTTTAGAAGTTCTTAAGTGAATGTGTTAATTTTAAAATTTAGAAATAAGGGTACAAAGGGAATTATTAGTTTGGAAATTTTCCTAGTTAAGATTACCTGTTAATTGAATTCCTTTCAGAAAAAATAAAAGCATTTGTAAAGATAGCAAACCCATTTTAGACAGTCAATTTAACACAGATGATGTTTTCAGGTGGCCAGCGAATAGGGCAAATGTTATTATATGGGTCTACACCAACTCATCTGTGACAAAGATTCTCACCTTAACCTAAAAGACATCATTATTAATATACATTTTATTTAAAACATTTCATATGAAACATTTTTTTAATTTTGTTTTTTTTTAATTGTATTCCTTTGTTCGTGGCTGGCTTGGTGGCGGACGTACAAAATTTGGGACGGCCAATTGATCCTTATCAGGTCAAACTATTGAGCTTAAACTTGGCACATAAATTCAGTGCCGATGCCAACACATTTTTTCACATTTTCTGACCTAATTTCCTTAAATATTTTCCTCCCAATATTAATAGCTATAAATCGTACAGCAATAAATGATCGATGTATCTGACTTTCTTTACCAGTGTTTACCAAAAATTATTCACATTTGATTTCGAGTTTAGGGTAGAAATAAAAGATTGGTTAAAAATTAGAAGACATGATGATATTCTTATGAAATCATTAAATATATTTAAAAACACCACAAGATAGAGTGAGAGAAAGAAAAAAAGACACTTTAAGCTCACAAAGGCTTCACGAACTTGAGAATCGTTCACCAACTTATAGATAAAGCAATGATTAATGCTTTTTTTTTTTTTTAAATTAAAGTTTTATTTTGGACTTGATATTATGGAAACAAACATATTTTGAAATGTTATCAACAAGGTTAAAGAAGATCTATGAACATGCGTGTGAAACTCAAGATAAAGAGCATGAATTTTTTATCAATGGCGTGGCTAATTTTAGCAGATGGAAATTGCCACCCGGGACGTCCTTTGGTATATAAAATAATGTAATTGTTCCAAAGTGGCATACGTTGGTGCGTTTGACACGGGCTGTGTTAAGTCGGTGTAAATTAAATGTTCGAAAATGAAAATTATCAGAATATATTATACAAATCTCGGAATTCGTGGGTACTTTTTATATTTAATTATTTATGTCTGAAATAGTATCTCATGAATGATACGAGGGAATGAAAAAGGATTAACAGAAATCATACAGTGGCCTATCATATAGTGACCTATCTCAAGTTATCCAATAATATATAGTGGCCTATAACGTAGTGGCATATAATATAGCGGCCTATCACACAGCGACTTGCCTAATTTCAACATTATCAGAAATGGGAAACTTTATGTAGGGCGGTAGATCCGAAAACGATCATAAATAAAATAAAGTCACTAAATATTTTCAACATATATAACTTATAACCTTATAACTATAAGATATCATCTACTAACTTGTTACTAGTTATTCCTAAAACTGGTTTCATTCGTTAGTTATGATCTTTCTATAATTATTTTAAATGTATTGAACCTAAATTCAGTTTATTTCCAAGAAATCTAGATTCTTAAAAGGCTGCATCTATAGGTATCCGGGTACCTTTAATCGCAAATCACTATTCGCACCCGGAGTGGCTCCGTACAGATTAAATGGCTTTGGAGCAGGGTATGAGAATTATTATTTTTTAAATTGTTTTTTTTTCCTTGTTATTTCATAGATTCATAGTTCTAGTTTTATTCTTTTTAGTTGTTTTTTTAATTTTTGCTATGTTAATTTCTCTTAGGACGGGTAGATTTTTTTCTTTCCTATTTTCTTTTTTAGTTTAAGCCATTTTCGTAGATAATTTTTTTTTTTTTTAAATCTATTAATGAAGATGATTTAGATACATTTATTGTTTTCATTTGGATTTTAGAAAAGTAATAATATAAATTTAATTATTAAAATTAAATCCTTTATTTAAGATTATTTATGTGTATTGTTTAAGTTACAAGATTTAATCACACAATACTTTATGAATTAATAGGTATTCTAAATAATGAAAATTGCATTCATAGTGAATTAATTTCAACTATTCCTCTAGAGAGCTTGGCTTAGTCAGAACAAAACCACCAATTTTAAACTTTTTCCTTGGCACTGGGAGTCATACATGCAGACACTGACTGTTTTTTCTGATATCTCGAATCTCCTTTCAACAACTTTTCTCATTTGACTTGACCTAATTCACAAGGTAGTTGCAATGAACATCTTAAAGTTAAAGGATGCCATTGTATAAAGCATGAGAAAGAGACTTATTTTTGGAGGACTAGTCTTTTTTTTTTTTTACCATATCTGTCTACTGGGTCTAACACACTGGTACATAATTTAAAATTTAATAGAAAAACAAAACTTTTTTGACTTGAGAACATTTTTGTTTGGTTGTTAGTTATTTGAGTTGTGTACTCAAGTAATCCATAAAATAAATTAGGGGCCAGTAAGGAGTAGGCAGCCAATAAACTCATTCAATTAGGTCACATCATTCCTTTGCCATTTGTCTCCTTTTACTTTCTCACATTCCTTGTTGGTACCCGTACAGTTAACTATTGTTTGTATCATTTCTTCATTTAAGTACAGATGTAATGATTGAGTGGGAGCAAATATATGTGATCTGTGGAGGGAGTTTGGTTTCAAGGCAACTAAGTCATGCCACATTGAAAATAAAATACTGATAACCCTAAATAAATAGAGCCATTGAAAAAATATAGTACATACAAACCATACACAAACAGAAAGACAAAAATCCACTAAAGTTTATATTAAAAAAATTTGTTGTGACTTTTTAATTTTATACCAATTTTGACTTTTACGCAAAATGAATAAAGACAAATTTGTATTGCATTGTATTGTAACTTATTGTACTGTATTTTAAATGAAACTTGGCATACACATTAAGAATAACATTGAAATAAAGTTTAAAGAAGCTATTACACAGCAGTTATTGGAAGTGTTACAAATAGCATGTATGTGGGGGTCACATAAATATTCGAGAACTCTTCAGGAGTAGCAAATGTAAAAATGTTATAAACCTTTTCTAGTTGGATATACCCGGTATATAAAAAAAA